AACTGTTGTTAACCCGAACGGAAAGTAGTCAAAAGCCGCTTCTTTTTACTTTACTGAAAGTAAAATGGAGCGGCTTTTTGACTACTTTCCGTTCGGGCTAAAAACAGTTGAACAGCAATGTGTGTGAAAATCACCCCACTTTTGCAGGTTTTCCTCAGCTTTTAAATCCCATTTCTGCACAAGATTTCCCCTGTGTGATAAGGTCCTAGGTTTATGTAATAAGTTAGCTAGGTCGCAAGAAGCTGTAAAATATAAGGTCCTTTGCAGACTGCCAGAAATAGTGCAAATTGAGTCCACTTTAAGGGTTAGGGTTAGTGCTAGGGAATCATGGGAATTGGTTTGTTTTTTTCTGAGACATTGAACCTTCTCTGTCATAGAGCTCTGGTGCCACAATAAAAAAAAGTTCCCATGATTCCCTAACCCTAACCCTAACCCTTAAAGTGGACTCAATTTGCACTATTTCTAGCAGTCTGCAAAGTCTACAAAAAGAACAGCTCAGCAAGTGAGTCTGTGTCTGGTGAGAGCTTGGTCTCAATCTCTGAGAAAGAGAATTTTGCTTTCAGTTTGATCCGGTGAGCTCTATAAATGCTGTATATAGTTTTTGTCTCCCGCCTTCCTCTGTAATAAATCCTTTACTGCAGCAGCTGGCTTCCGCATTATACTTGGGAGTATCCAGAGGATCCATTTGGATACTAAAATCATTCATATCGACCCACAGCATGCCAGGGACCTCCAGGAATCTCAGGCATCAGCTTTCCTGCTCAGGCCTTGCAAACTCAGGATAGCCTGGGCTTCCTTGATCAAGTCAATCCACCTGTAGTCTGATCTCCCTCTTTTCCTACTGTCTCCCATTTTACTGAGCAGTATCATCTTTTTCAGTGAGTCACACCATCTCATGATATGTCCAAAGTATGACCGCTTCAATTTAGTCATCTTCACTTCTAGTGATACACAGCACTTTGGACCTAGTGTTTCACAATGGTTTGCAAACAGCTGCTTAGAGTGCATTTCAGGAATCTAGAATCATTCTGAGATTTTGTCTCTTTGTTCTTTCTTTCCTTTTCATTCATCTATCACTTCATTTTATTTAGCAGATTTCTCAGTATTGTCTGTTCCCCAGTTTTTTGTTTAAAGTAATGAGCTTTAATCATCCTCACCTGCCCAACACATTAGAAGCATTTTTCAACATATTCAAAGAGCTTAATCAATTATCTCCAAAGATTAATTGGCCAGGGTTTACAGTTCTAAATTCATAGTTAAAATATTTATTTCAAGTGAATTAAATATTTAAAGCAATTAAAGGTAAAGTCATATTTCAATGAATTTAAAGACAAAACAAATATGAAATTACACTTGATGAAAATATACCCCTATTTTCAAGAGTTTTCTTTGGTGCAATTTTTTTTTCTTTTTTGCCTCCTTTAAGAGGAACAAGAATGTAGGGGATACATAAACTCCCATTTTGACCCCAAGGAGGGCAAGTTCTGCAATAGCACAAACCCAAAATGGCTCACAAGCTTTCACAAAACTCCCACTTTTTGACTATCACTCTTTCCCCATACCTTCCAACTGTCCTTATTTGACAGGGACAGTCCTGATCAATCCTCTGTCATCCCACTTTTACAGCTGTCTTCAAAATGTCCCAGTTTCTATCTCCTCCTCCCACTTTTCCCCTTTGTCCTCATCTTAGTTCAATTTCAATATCTTAGCTGAGTCATTAATCAAAATGGAGACTGCAGCAAGAAATCAGAAGAAGGCTAGGGCCTAATCTGCAGAAATAATACAGTTTAACACTGCTTTAACTGCCATGGCTCCATCCTTTGGAATCTTGGGATTTGCAGTTTGTTCTGGCACCAGAGCTCTGACAGAGAAGGCTAAATATTCCATAAACCTACAAATCCCAGAATTCTATAGCACTGAGCCATGGCAGTTAAAGTCATATCAAATGGCATTATTTGTGCAGTCCAGATTACATCTAGGATTCAGTAATGAAGGAATTAGACAAGATCCTGATGTATAAATATATATCACTGAATACCCAGGTCAGGATTGTCTATGCCATTGTTTTTCCATTTTCTGTGTATGGTTGTAAAAGTTGGATAGTGAAGAAAGCTGATAGAAAGAAAATCAGCACATTTTAAATATTGTGCTGGAGGAGAGTTCTCAGGATACCATGGCCTGCTAAAAAGACAAATAAATGGATCCAAGAGCAGATTGAGCCTGCACTCTCGTCAGAAGCCAAGATGACTAAAATGAGATTGTTGTACATGGGACATGCAATGACTAGACATGACTTGCTGGAAAAGACAATGGTGCTTGGCAAGGTAGAAGGCAGTTGGAAAAGAGGAAGACAATATCCCAGATGAACAGACTTAATCAAGGAAGCCATGACCCTGAGTCTGCAAGACTTCAGTAGATGATGTGGTAACTTACAGGTTTCCCATTCATGAGGTCACCTTAAGTCAAAGTCAACTTGATGGCAATGAACTACAACAACAACAGGCATCTGACTTGCTCCTAGTTTGTCTGTTGGTCCCAACTTCCTCTTCAATCCTGTCTCTTGACTTGTCTCTTGACTCCAGGCTTGTGGCTTCTGGTTAGCTTCAGACTAATGGCCCAGTAACATTGATTCTCAGTCCATAAAGAGGTTTTTAGCACCTCACATCATATATGAGGCCTTCTATGGTTAGTTGGATTCCATTCAACATAAAGAAATGTAAGGTACTGAACTTTGGGCAGAAAAATGAAATGCATGGATATA